TCCTATTATATTATTCCTATTATATTTCTATTATATCATATAATATATCATATAATATAATATTATACCATATATTACATTATATTTAAATGATATATGTTATGATTATATATTATATAATTATATAATAATATATACTGATTTTATATATTATTATTATATACTATATTATTATATATATTATGATATATAATATTATGATTATATATAATATATGCTATATGAAATATAACATATAATTTATATATTAATATATTATATATGCTATATTAATACATATTATATTCTAATATTGTAATGTATATTATATAATACAATAAATATATAATAATATATTGAACATAATATAAAATAATAATATATAATATAATAATATATATTGTTATATTCTATTATTTCTGTTGCTGGTGTGTTACTATATATCAGAATTCCTGGCTATAATTTGCTTGGCTGGCTGTCCTTGTGCTGGCCTTGCTGACCCCTGCAGTGGCATTTGGGTGGAACCTTCCCAGGGTGACTGATCCACGACGTGTTTGCTCCCCTGCTGCTTCCCTCACCATCCTGTCCTAAGCCTTTCTCCTCTGAAGGGCAAAGCCAGCAAGCAAAATGAAAATTTAATGGCATTTATTTATGAAAAGAAGCTTGCATTCGTTACAGTTTCCTGGAGTGTCATGAAGCCACGTTGGTTTCAGTACATAATTCATTATTTAGTTCTTTTTTTTCACCCTTTTTTTTTCCTAAGTATGTAGCTTCAGCCTCATTCCAAGAAGCTTTCTGTAAAATTGTCTTTTTAGGTAATGCTCTTCACCTAATCTGTTTATTCAGTTTCTTCAAGACCATCCATTTCCAGTAAATACTCTTCTCTCTGCTAAGAAAATTGCTTGTAAATTTTATCGGGTGATCAGATTGGATTTGGATATTGTTTGCTTCTCTGTCTTTAAGAGATTCTCTAAGCATCTTTCTGTAGTACAAATTCTTTCTTAAGTTAATCCTGTTTAAACACTTTTTTTTTTTATAAAGTCTCTTGCCAGTTCTGCAGAAACAATCTGCCTAAAGCAAAAAAAAAAATTTAAAATTCGGCTTCACTTCACTGGTATTTTGCCATGGGGCAAAAGGGCATTTCCTTGATTGCTTTGTCTCTTTTTCCTGTGCCTAAATATTTTCTTTCCCTTTCAAAGCCCTGAAACAAGGCTGTGACCCAAATCCTGGCTGAAATGAAAATAAATCAGCTGCCAGCAGCGGAGACATTTGCAGATGAGGCTCGTGGCACATGGCAGGGCCCAGAAGGTGTAGAAATAAATGAGTGAAGGACCCCCAAATCGTCCCCTGGGGTCAGGAGGTACAGAGGGGACACCCCAGGGTGACACAGCAATCCCCAGTGGGCACCCAAGCAGCTGGGAAGCACCAAAAATCCCAAATTCCCAGTCAGGGTTTTCCTGTGTGCAGTTTTCCATCAGTACCTGGCACCCCGAAGGTCCCATCCCAGCTGGAGGGGGCCCTGACCTGTCCCCACCACTGCTCCTGTGACAGGTCCTGTGCCACTGCCACCACGGGCTGCCACCCTGCTCCCACCCAGTCTGGCCTGTTGTCCCTTGCTGGGAGCACTGGGAAGGCACCAGGGACCTCAGGGGACATTGGCACTGCCCTGAGGCCACCACCGCCCTGCAGAGGGAGAGGACATTCCATGCCTTCTGTCATTCCATGAGGATATTCTGTGTCCCCTGTCATCCCAATGCCCCCTGTCATTCCCTGCCCCCTGTCATTCCATGAGGACATTACGTGTCCCCTGTCATTCCATGTCCCCTGTTATCCCATGTCCCCTGTCATTCTGTGCCTTCTGTCATTCCATGAGGACATCCCATCATTCCATCTCCCCTGTCATTCCATGCCCCCTGTTATCCCATGCCCCCTGTTATTCCACGAGGTCATCACATGCCCCCTGTCATTCCATGAGGACATTCTGTGTCCCCTGTCATCCCAATGCCCCCTGTCATTCCATGCCCCCTGTTATCCCATGTCCCCTGTCATTCCATGAGGACATTCTGTGTCCCCTGTCATTCCATGCCCCCTGTTATCCCATGCCTTCTGTCATTCCACGAGGTCATCACATGCCCCCTATCACTCCATGTCCCCTATCACTCCATGTCCTCTGTCACTCCTTGCCCCCTGTCATTCCCTGCTGTCCTGGTGGGAAAGGGTCACTGGAGTTGTGCCATGCCAGACTCCCCAGCCTGCTGAGTCAGCACGTTTGTCCCTTGGCTGGCAGGCAAACACGTCCCCAAATTAAACGCTAAACAAACAAACAAACAAACAAAGAGCCTTTTGCCAGCTCGTGGGCTCCTGGGAGAGCAGGCCGGGTTTGGTGTGGCACCAGTGACAGCCAGACCTGCTGGCCCTTGGCTGCTGAGCTCCTCTGATTCCGTGAGCAGGTTGACTCTTGCGTGAAAGGGTTGGGAAGCAACATAAAACAATGGCCAGGACTCCAGGTCCTCACAGTTTTGTGGGTGGAATAGCAGGAGCCTGGCTTTCTTTCACATGGAAAAGGTGCTTGAAGGTGTTGTTGAAGGTGCAGCCCTAAACACAGGCGCCACCCGCCCTCACCAGTCCCAGAGTTGTGTTGCAAATTGCTGGCAACAGCCTCCAGCCCCGTGTGCCAACTCCCTACTTCTGTCAACCTGTCATTAACCAATCTATTGACAGGCTGACTTCAATCCTTCTCCTTTCCCTCTCCAGATGCAGGTCAGGGCTTGGAATATCTTTGAGGAGCCCTAGGTGGGCTCAGTGCTCATGGCTGCTGCTGGTGGCACCACCAGATGCCTTCCTCAGGAGGATCGATGCCCTGAGCCCAGCTTTGCAGCCCCACAAGCTGCTCAGCTGACGTCAGTTTGGGTTAGAGAGCAACGCTTTATCCTTTAAACATATTTATCTGTCTATTAAAAGGCGGGGGATGTGGAGGTTGCAAATTAATCCCACTGAGGTTTAATCCTCCCAGACCGTCAGCATTTTTATTTTCTTTGGATTGGAGGTCCTGAAACCTTCTGCTGTGGGTGTCTTCTGCCACGTGCAGGGACTTGCAGGCAGAATCCTGTGCAGCTCCACAAACAGCTGCTGGCCAGCACACGTAACAGACGTTTATTCTGTTTATTGCATATTATTTATGACCCATTATTTACTGTCGTAAACAATATGCCATAAACAGAATAAGTGAATCCCATGTAAATAGATGGGGCTGCTAGGCTGAGCACGAGCATGCCCACCACACCTGCTGGCTGGGCAGTCATCAGGGAGCTGGGGAGATGCTGGTGTCTGTTCCTTGGAAAACCTTGAGCTGCTGTTTCTCATCATCCACCCGGTCAGGTTTTCACACTGAGGTTTTTCTCCAGAGTCCTGGAGCTGCTGACAAGGTAGAAATAGCTGAGTCCTGGTCACTGGGCCACACCAAGGCTGCCCTGTTGATGCAGATGATCTTTCTGGTGCCAACCTCTGGCAATACTCTGCCATTCCCATCCCTGGCAAGGTGAAAGGCACCTGCAGAGGACTCATCCTTCCTGGTGCTGGGCTGCTCTGCTCCTACAAGCTGGCAGATGAATGGCTTTGGGGATTGCAGGGATTTTCTCTGAGTAGTCCTGCTGATAAGGTGGAACCCAGAAAGTGAGATGCTCAGCTTTGCCAGATGTCCACAGAACCTGAAACTAAGTCATGGCACTACCAATTCCTGCCCCGTTCAATGCAGCACAAATGTAGGGGACAAAAATACTGTAACTTTGATTCCAGAGAGTCAGTAACGAGTTAACCTCTCCAGGATAAACAGAGTGGCTGAAATTTACTGCTCTAGTCATAACTTTCTTTTTCATTTCAACAGTAAGGAGCTAAACAGGATGAGCAAGAAAAGCTTGGCAAGAAACCATGTGATTGGAGAGGGATAGCTGGGTGGATTTGTGAGGTGAGAAAGGGCTCAGCCTCTCCTTGCACATTTCATCACCAGCAGATCACCAGGTCTGAACTCCATTCTCTGCAGTGAGGAGGATCTGGTGAGGAGAATCTCCTGCTTCTCTGCCCTTTGCCAGCTGTGCCTGGCTCAGAGCCCCCTGGGCCAGATGTGGCCTCTTTCCACCAGTGGCTCACTCTCCTCCCCTCCTGTGCCTAAACCCACAAACCACAGCACGAGCTCGATTCCTGGAGTAAAGTTTCGCTCTTTGATTGCTCAGAGCCTGCAAAAGCTGGAAGGGAAACCCCAACACTGCAAGCCAAGGGCTGGAGCTTGGCTGTGATGCAAGACTTTATTGCAATCTCTACAGACGCAGAGGGCAGGCAGAAATCACAGCATTGCATTGAAAAGCCTTAAATCAGTGTGGAACAGGGGGACAGGGGATATTTTTAAGCAGGGCATCCCTCACACAAACCCAAGGCACATGGGAACAGGCTGCCTCTCCATCCTGGGGCAGCACATGGATGGATGGATGGATGGATGGATGGATGGATGGATGGATGGATGGATGGATGGATGGATGATGGATTCATGGCTTATTGGATTCATGGATGGATTCATGGATTCATAGATGGATTCATGGATTCATGGGTGGATTAATGGATGGATGGATGGATTAATGGATGGGTTGATGGAGGTATTGATGGAGGGATTCACAGATGGATAGATTCATGGGTAGATGGATTCATAGATGGGTTCATCAATGGATTCATGGATGGCTTTATGGGTGGATTTATGGATAGATTCATGGATGGATGGATTCATCGATGGATTCATGGATGGGTTCATCGATGGATTTATGGATGGATTCGTGGATGGATTGATGGATGGATCCATGGATGGATTGATGGATGGGTTGATAGATGGGTTCATGGGTGGATTCATAGATGAGTTAATGGATGGATTCATGGATGGGTTAATGGATGGATTCATGGATGGATTCATAGATAGGTTAATGGATGGATTCATGGATGGGTTCATGGATGGGTCAATGGATGGATCCACGGATGGATTAATGGATGGATCCACGATGGATTAATGGATTCTGCTCCATCATGGCCACTGTCCGCTGATACACGCGCTGCGGGGTGTTCAGGCCCCAGTGCTGGTCGAAGTGGTTCCGGTCGGGGAAGTGCTCAGCTGGGCAGGGGGAAAGCACTCCTGTTACCTGGGGGCTCTGATGGGTGGGGTGTGCTCCCCCATCCCCATCCCAGCCAGCCCCCTCACCTGGTTGTACTTCTCCATGTTTCTCAGCCCGTAGTCAAACTGCTTGAACTCAGCGGTTTTTGCAGTCTGGAAGGCAGAGGCAAAGGGTTAATCCAGGTAATATCCTGGATCAGCCTCCCCAGACAGAGACAATTTGGTGCAGCAGCTTAAAAATCCCTTTTATTTCTTGGCTTTGATTCCACCTCCTTTACCTGTTTCCAGCAGCATTTGGAAATGCCACATTCACAGATTAAAACAAAGGCAAGTTAAAATAGTTATACAATCAGAATCTCTACCTGTCCCCAGTGCAGAAGATTTTTTACTGATGTATAGTCTGGGAAATGAGAAATGTACACATCCAGTCGACTCTACAGGAAAAAGAAAGTATTTTCTAAGTGAGTTTCGAAGGATGAAAATCCATCTAGGCGAAAAACCTCAAGCATTCTGTCTTATAGCTGCAATATAAATGTTATACGCTCTTTATTCTTTAGCAGCTTTATTCTCCCCAGAGCTAGAAGCAGCTTTCAAAGGTAAGTCACTTAATCAATGGAAATACACTTAAAATGGAAATATAGCTGGTCCAGTCATTCTTTGGTTATTTTCTTCTGTAAAATTGTGGTGTGTCAGCCAAAAATGAGGCAGGAGTTTGCTTTCCTAAGAGATGAGACCACAAGTGATTTTGTTTTACCATTAGGTTTGACACTCCCACACCACTGCAGGAAATCTCCAAATAACCACTGCCTTCCACACCATGTTTTGGGGGTTTATACTCATTGTTGTGTCTCATTAACTATCTCCAGGTGTCCAGGAAAACCAGAGAGAGCTGTCACCTGGAAAGCCTGGCGCACCCACCGTGTTCAAGTTGTGCCTGTCGTACCCTCCAAGAAGGAAGATACTGTTGGCACACACTCCAGCCTCCAGAGGCCTGCTGCACTTCTCAACCAGCAGCAGCTTCTCCTTCCTTGGCACCAGAACCAGCTCTCTGTTCCAAATATCTCCTGCAGGAGCACGAGGAAACGTTAGGAATGATGCCAGGAGCTCCAGCGCCCGCCGCAGGTGCAGGAGCAGCACACGGTGGCAATGCAGAGGGGAGGAGTTGCCAGAAGCCCCTGGATTTTGGCAGTAAAACCCACAAACGCCTCCTGCACCTTGAGCAGCAGGTCTGGTAGAAAGGCCAGCTTCAGCACCGGGCCCTGGGCATGGCGGAATGCGTACACAGGAGCCAGGGCAAAGAAGAGTTTTCTTTTCTTGGCCAGATGTGGCAAGCTGGAAAATGCTATGAAACCTGAAAAGCAGCATGAGAGCACACAACACAAACCCCAGCTCAGCCCAGGCCCTGTGTTTGAGGGGATTTTTTGAACAAAAAACTCTCCTGGATGCCAGCAGAGCCCGGGATGGACGGGCAGGACGTGGCAAAGCCCTCCATGCAGAAGGCTGGGAAGGCAGGAGGGGACAGCAGCTCCCAGCAGTGTCCAGCTTGGGATGGACATTAATGTCACTCACCCAGGGAGCTGCCCTGAGCGTGGCCAACATAGAACAGCTGCTCTTGCTCCCTTTGCATCAGGATGAAGCCCACCATGGCCGGCAGGTCGTACATGGCCATCTCGTGGAAGCTGCACGGCAAAGGGAGAGCCTGGGGGAGATTCCCACCTCCCAACCGCCCAGGGACACCAGGGGCTCAGCGCTGGCAGCCCTGCAGCCCCTCTGTCTTTGGTGGTCCCCTGACCTGAAGTCCCAGAACTCCTGGGAGGCCACAGACCGGCTGCGGTGCCGGTGGGACCAGCTGCTGCCCCGGTTGTTCCCGATCCAGACGTCATGTCCCGCATCCACCAGGATGAAGGCCAGGCTGTTCTCAGGCAAATTGTCCACCCAGTCACCACCATCCAGGCAAAACCCATGCACTATCAGCACGGGGGTCCTGGGTCCTGAAAGAGGAGATAGGAAGGAGCTGACAGAAGAAGACACCTTTCCCATATGGAAATAAAACACCACTGTACGTCTTGATGCTATTTTCTGCAGGCTGCACATTAAATGTTCCCTTCTCCCATTATTTCTCTGGTTATGCTGGTGCTTTTTTGTGTTTGGGAAGCTTCTGCCACCCCAGGCCCTGAGCCTGGATCTTGGAGCAGGGGTTTGCTGCAGGGAAAGAGCCACTGGGGCTTTGCTGCATCACGCTGCCCCATCTCAGGTGCACCAAAACACAACGCTGAGCTTCTGAAGGCAGCCAGGAAGAAACTCCTCACCCCTCTCCCAGCTGCCCAAACCATGCCTGAAGGCACAGGCACTCCTCTTGCACCTGGGCAGGAGCCAGGCTCACAGCTGGTGGCCCCTGGGTGAGGCTGAGCCCACCTGCCAGCCCAGCGCCGCCCTTGCCGTGGGGAATCCTGTTGAGGCTCAGGAAGTAGCCGTCCTCTGTCATCACCTCGTACTCCTTGCTGGGATAGCCATGGAAAAGGATCTTCTGGCTCTGCAGGGACAGTGGTGTGAGGACAGAGGGTGACCCTGTGCCTGCCTCAGCTTCACCCACTGCTGCCACCCACGTGGTGTCCCCCGGTGTCACCTGCACCCGAAGGAATCGGAGAGCAGGGAGAGGCCAAGCTCAAGATGAGGGCATGAAGGGAGTGCCAGCAATGTAAATATGGGAGATTTTTGATGCCCTGAGCCCCTCAAAGAGGCCAGGTGCAGATGCAGGGAAGGGGTGAGCCCAGCTGGTCCCTCAGGAAGGACTTTGGGCATGCCCATGGAGAAGTGAGGTGCTCCCCCAGCACTTACAACGTTCATGAACCTCTCAGGGTTGTAGAATACTTCAGCATCTGGGATGGCATCTTCCAGCCCCTGGGCCAGGCACAGGGCCACCAGCAGCAGCCACATCTGACCTGCCCAGAGCACCTGGGGGATAAGGGGCTGGATGAGCAGGGCTGTGCGTGCTCCAGGGCCACGAGGACACTGTGCAGCCCCAGCAGCGTGGCAGCACAGCCAAAGCCTGAAGCTGCCACAGGGAGCAGGTGTCTGCAACCCCTTGTGCAGTTTGGAGCCCACCCCAAGCCTCTCTTGGTGGCCATTCTCATCTAGTCCAGCTGTAAGTGCAGCGTGGGACAAGTGACCTCCCAGCATCCCCTGCCTGGGAAAAGCATCAGGGTGCCTTCAGGGAAATCCTTAGGCTTTCAGAAAAAGCATTTCAGGGCAAGAATGCTCCCCCAAACAGGAGGGGTCATGCCAGAGCTCCATCCTGCAGGAGCTTCCCTGCTCCATCCCTGCCTTGGATGCTTTACAGCTCCCTGCCAGGTGCTCCTGGACTGCCCTGCCACCCACAGTACCCAGCCCAAGGCATTCCAGACTCAAGGGCACATCCAGCAAAGTCCAGGTCCCTGGTGATCTCTTGCAGGAGCTAAAGATGGCTCCCTGCCTCCCAAAGTGTGTTTTCCCAGTACCCTTATTGCATGAAAATCTTTCCTGGGCTGCTCAGAAAACCAGCAGAGCTCCATGTGGGCACAACAAAAACTCCCTCTCACTCAAAAACAAAGTGCCAACTCAAGCCCACCACCAGCACCTCGGTGCCTCCATCTCCACATGCAGGTGAGGAGGGATGTGCTGGGATTAAACTGCTGTGATGGCTGAAGGAAGGAGAGGTTGGATTGCTCTTGGAGCCCCTAGGCAAACTGCATCGCTAAACCCATCTCCCTTCGTCCTGCCCAGCTGCCCAACGCCACAACTGCAGGCTGGACTCAGTGCAAATCACCTCTTTTAGGGGCTTTCAGTCCTGTAGCCCCTCAGCCTGCGTGTGGAATGAAGATGGAAAGGACAGCAGGGAGGCAGGAGCTGCAGTGGCTGGCTCCTCACCTTAGCTGCCCACAGACACAGGCAAGACATTGCAGGCCATGCCTGGGCACATCAGAGCCTGGCCAGCTGCTGAAATAACCACTTCACTGAGCACGGGGGTTACAGGGGATGGAGAAGCCAGGCCTGCTCAGGAATCAGGAGATGCCAGATAGAACAGTGTGATCCCCAGTGCTGTTCTCTTGTTGCTAAACCCACAGGAGTTTCACACCAATTGCATCCTCTGGTTGAGCTTGTCACTTCGGACAGAGCTTCTTTCCCTTGGGGCTTTCCAGAGAGGAGTCAAATCCCTGCCAAATTCTGCCCTCCATGGTCCATCTCCCTTAGATCTTCACCACATGCAAGGGACCTTCCACTGCTCCATGGCCAGCAACAGCCCACACATATTTTTACTGATGTATAGTCTGGGAAATGAGAAATGTACACATCCAGTCGACTCTACAGGAAAAAGAAAGTATTTTCTAAGTGAGTTTTGAAGGATGAAAATCCATCTAGGCAAAAAACCTCAAGCATTCTGTGTTACAACTGCAATATAAATGTTATACACTCTTTATTCTTTAGCAGCTTTATTCTGCTGAGAGCTAAAAGCACCTTTCAAAAGCAAGCCACTTAATATCTTAAAATGGAAATACAGCTGGTCCAATCATTCTTTATTTTCTTCTGTAAAATTGTGGTGTGTCAACCAAAAATGAGGCAGGAATTTCCTTTCTGCCTGTGGTTTCTGTAGCTCCTGCGCATTTCATGATGAGAGTTTCCTCCTCTCAACACCCCTCTCCCAGCTCCTGAGGCGTGGCACTGAGGTGTCCCACATGCTGGAGGTCACCTCCAGGCCCAAGGCTCTGCTGCCCAGCCCAGTGTCACCCAGAGGTTACAGTGGCATGCCTTGGTGGCCGTGACAAGCTGTGCCACAAAGGTGTCAGAGAGAGCACTGGCAGCATTCAGCAGTGACAGAAGCAGCTCCTCCTGGCACCCCAAGATGTGGCAGAGAGGGAAGGATGAGTCCCTGGGCATGGCAGCCAGGGTGGAGAACAGCAGAGCTCGTCCTCAAAGCTGCTGCTCCCCAGGCACCAGCCCTGGGCAATGCACCCCATCCCTTTCACAGAGCCAAAATGGAATGGGGAAGGCCTAGGAAAATGTCTAACCACCAAGTTCTCCACACACAAAATGCACAGCTGGAGTGGTAATAACGCCTCTCAACTCAGCTGGGATCCTTCCTTTCAGCAGTACCCTGGGCTAGAAGGAGAAGAGGAGAACAGGAGAGCACCACCCTGACCTGCTGCTTGGGGCCCTCCGTGCAGCCAGCGGGGTTGGTGGCACTGAGGGAACCAGTCCTTGGCTCATAAAGACACCCAGAGAGGCTGGCACTTGTCCATCAACACCCAGTCCCTCCCCAGCCACCCAGCCCGGGGGTTCAGACCCTGCACCCCAAACCCGTGGGAGCTCAGCAGCAAAGAGCCACATCCCAAAGTCTGGGGCGTGTCCCCATCACCAGGAACACACAGGCCCTGTGGTGCCCTCCAGCTGGGATGGCATTTTTGGCATTCCTCGGCAGAGGGATTCCAGCTGCATTGCCTGTGCTCTGGTGTTTCCAGGCACGGCTCCTGCTGGCTTTCCAGGTGCAGGTGCCTGTTGGTAACCTGCCAGCCCTGCATGTCAGCACGAGGCTCAGGGACAGGGCTGGGATGAAAAGAAAGGGGCAAATCTCACCCGGGAGAGGAGGAAGAAATACCACTTGCATGTGACCCTGACTGAATTTGTCAGTGTGGGCGTCCTGAGAGGGGAAATCCACAGGGTGCACAGCAAATCTCCCATGGCAGGGGTGACAGTCAGCCCCCCACGATGGCTCTGGGTCCATGGGCCCCTTTAAGCAGGTTTCCAGCCCCACCACCTCTCCTCCTGCCAGGAGAGCAGTGGTGCTGGGAAGGCACCTTTGGGCTCTCCATCTCCATCCCAACTTCCTGCTCACCCTGGTTTGGGGTGGTATCACTGCTGAGCAAAGTATTTCCTCTGTCAGTGCAAAACACCTCTGGCTTGCATAGACACACGTTTGTTGTGGTTTTCACCAGCAGAATGATTGTCTGGGCTTCTTCCTGGGCTTAAATGCTGGCATGAAAGAGCAGGATGAGGCACTTTGCAAGAGCTCTATTTAATTCTGGGGCATTTGGGTGCTGTTCCCCACACCCAGCCGAGGTCCTGGAGGAAGGAGGTGGTCTGGTAACAGCTACAGAGAGGTGGCAAAATGCTGGGTGAGGAGCTCCCTGCCCTGGCTGACCCTTCAGACAGCACCAGGCATGGACCTGACGAGGCAAAGTTGGGCATTCCTTCAAGAAAAGAGACTAAAAACCCTGCTGAGAAGTGCCAGAGAACAACATAGGCTTAATCTTCAAGCTGACCTAGGGACAGCCTCCACCAGCAGAAATGATGAGAATCTTCTCCCTCAGCTTCCCTGCTACTATAGCTTGGGCCTTTGACATGATTCCAGCGACCCTCTGAGGTCACCTGCTCCTTCCCAGCACCCCAGAGCCCAGCGGCTGGGGAGATGCTCCCCAAAACCTCTCCATAGCCCAGCTCACAGCCTCCAGGCTGTGGTTCCCTGCAGTGCTGTCCCCAGTGTCCCCTGCTGCCACCAGAGCAGGGACAGGCTGCTGAGCTGCACAGACCTTCTCCTTCTCCCCTGAATGCCCCAGGTGCAGCAAAGCCAGATCCCGCCAGGATTGGGCAGGGATGCCCACTGGGCTTAGGCCAGGTCTGCCTTTGGTCCCCATGTCCTCACAAGCACTTCTGACCTCCAGGCTCACCTTCATCTCCCTCAGAGGCTTGCAGGAAGCCTGACGAGCCTTTCTTGGTCCTTCAGAGGTCCTTCCTCTCCCCAAATCCCCGTTTCCCTCTGTGCCTCTCTGGACAAGCCGAGCCCACAGCTCTCCCTTGGCCTTCCCCCCTTATTTCTCCAGCCCCTGCCCCACCTCCTGAGCCTCTCCTCCTGGGCAGGCTGGGCCACTTTTGGGAAGGATGACTCCATACCTGGCCCTCTGCTCCACTCAGGACAGGAGATGCCTTGCACATGCAAGCCCTGGGAGGGGATAATCCCCTCTGCTTGGCACTGGGGAGGCTGCATCCCATGCAGAACCAGAGCTGGGATCCCAGGGACTACTGGGACACCCCCACACTGGATAATCCCCTCTGCTTGGCACTGGGGAGGCTGCATCCCATGCAGAACCCAGAGCTGGGATCCCAGGGACTACTGGGACACCCCCACACTGGATAATCCCCTCTGCTTGGCACTGGGGAGGCTGCATCCCATGCAGAACCCAGAGCTGGGATCCCAGGGACTACTGGGACACCCCCACACTGGATGAGCCCAGAGGAGGTGGGTGGAGGCCGAGGCCAAGGTGCAAGGAGAGGCTGGGTTGGCTCAACAGAGCCACTGGCTGATTCCTGCCCAAAGGGGTGCCAGAGTCACCGGGGCTGGAGAGGCACAGGGAGAGCCCCAGGGGCACAGAAAGCCTGGCTGTGCTCAAGGAAACAGCCTGAAAAGTGTGAGCAGGGCAGCCCTGGGGCCAGGCTGGGATCCCCCAGCTGTCCACAGGCTGGACAGGCTCAGATTGTTGCCTGGCAAATCCAGAAAACCTCCAGAAAACGTCAAGCCCTCTGTTTTTCCTCTCAGCCAGGGCAGCACAAATCCCTCTCAGCAATTTTCCTCTCAGCCAGGGCAGCACAAATTGTGTTGGCACAAATCCCTCTCAGCACGTCCCACTTGTGAGCTCCTCACCAGCATGGGCATGGCCAACAGCCAGGACAACCACAGCTGGAGCCAGGACAGGTTTTGCCCCACCAAGCAGGAGCTGTGTCACCGTCATATTTTCTGGGAAAATCCCTTTGGCAGGATTTCTCTCCTGGGAAGCTGAGAAGTCTCCAAGAAAAGGGAAAACAATATTATCTAATTTGCTTCCCCTGTGTTTTGCTGCTTTGGAATGTGTTTGGAGATTGTTTCCCCACAGGTGATTGTTTCATTGGGTTCTGCTGTGAGTTGTTTT